TGCATGAAAAAATATTCAACACAAGCGCAGCTATTCTGCACGATTCAACCTTGGGTTCGCGGAGTAGCAAATTAATTTACTTCCATTTTTAAAAAGCATACGTGTCTTGCCCCATTTTGATTGCTAAAATCAAATAAAGACGTTATTGTTAGGACGGGAAATTATTATTCTTCCTTTTTTATGACACCTAGCGATGGGGCGAACAAATCGTGCACCTGGTGGTAAGCGAGCTTTAAATCGCAAAGATCTGAGGGCCACGGCTACTGCGCTCATCATTTGAGACACAAGTTGATAAGTTCCGTGTGCCCTTTAAAATTGGAACGCAGTAATGCTCACGTTAGAAATAGGTTATGTAGTTGAGTAGCAATAGAGCTCCAAGAGTTCGTCCAGGGTAGTACTGCCAGACCTACAGGTGCCGTGCGGAAGCCAGGGCACGTGGAGAGCGCCCCACACTAGAGGAGCTAGTGGGGGTTCGGCGTGCCGCCAAGACCGCCGTCCAGGCGGGGTGGGAGGAGGCACTCTGATCGGCCAGATACGGGGAGCGCACCGTCCAGGCGCTGCTCCCTGTACTGGCTGATTGGAGAAAGAGGAGGCACGGGTCCCTCACCTACCGTCTTGTTCAGGTACTCACCGGACACGGCTGTTTCGGTGACTACCTGAACAAGATCGCACGGAAGGAGGTGACCCCGGAGTGTGTGGCGCTGCTACAGACTCGGCGAGGCACACCTTGGAGGTGTGCCCGACCTGGAGCCAGCAGCGCCGGGATCTCGTAGAGGTGGTGGGACGAGACCTCTCACTGCCCAGCATAGTTAGAGCCATGCTGGGAAGTGAGAGGTCATGGCAGGCGATGGTCTCCTTCTGCGAGGACGTGATGTCGCAGAAGGAGACAGCCGAACGGGTCCGCGAAGACAGCGCCCTCTCGGACCCCATTCGGCGTCGGCGGAGAGGACGCACGCGACGGCTCTTTGCCGACCGCCTGCGTCCCATCAGCGGAGGCCAGCAGGGTGCGGGGTTGGGAGACCCTGCCCCTGCATTGCACAGGCCTCCGCCGCCGGTAGATGCCCCAAATGTTCCGGGGCATCTCCGTGTAGGTCGCCCCCCATGATTAAGGGGGCGATGGTGTAGGGGTCCGCCCAAAGGCGGACCAGCACCACCGGAGTCGCGGTAGCATCTGAAAGGGACCCCGCGGCTCACGTCACAACATCGTGAGGTTTTTAGTGGGTATGCTCTTGGGGATCGACATAGTCCCCAGGAGAGAGTCCCACATATCTCCGCCGTCTCCCAGCGGCGGGGAATGCGTAACGCATTTTCCTCACGATAATAAAAAAAAAAAAAAAAAAAGGGTAGTACTGCCACCTTACCTGTTTCTGCCGCCAAGCAGTAATGTCACCATTACTATGTTCCGGTTTTGAAGGGTAAGGGTGCAGGTGAAATTACAGGCACATGGGACTTGTCAACTTATGTCTCAGGGTGACAGGCGCAGTGGCAGTGCCCCTCTGATCTTTGCGATTTAAAACTCTGAGTGGCACTGCAATTGTCATGGACTGCGTGTAGCTTACCATCAGGCGCACGACTTGTTGGTCTCGTCGTAATAACAAAAAAAAAAAGGTAGGTAGAACAAAACTACAACATTACTTGTGTTCCCTAACATACCTTTGTATCCCTGTATAACTTTCAAAGTCACAATGTTAAATTTTTGAAGCACTATCCAGATTTAATGTCTTTCGCACATGGATAAGAAGCTTAAATAATAAAAAAAACTGTTTAAAAAGGTCATAGATAATTATTTTTAAATTATTATTGTCATTGTTACATACCATTAGCAAAGTTATTATTTAGTTACCTGCGTTTGTTGTAACTCAAGAAAAAACCTAGAGGAAAACTTTTTGTCGCGTAACTATATTTAATGTGTGTACATTTCTGTTTGACGTTCATTTTCGCATGTATACACTCACCGGCACATTTTGCGGAACACTAAAAAATCTCCATAATAATAACACATAAGAATTAATTAAAGAGATAAACAAAAAACAAAACGCAGTTTACAACAGTCAATGTTATTTCTGGATATCAATTTTTCCATGTCATATTGGGAGAAATATATTGAAAAAAACAAAAACGTAAATAGAACATTTTGATTATCAACCGGAATTTTGGATATTCGCCGTATCCAAAAACGGAGGAGATTCTCAATATAATTGTATGTTTTTTGGTTCTATATTACGCGATTACTTTGGCATTTCAAAACCGATTTTAATCATTCCTTTTTTGTTGGAAAGAGGGTACCGCAGTAGTAGGCCCATTTAAATATGAAGAAAATATTCCACCTCTAAGGGTGGCAAACTAGGGGATGAATCCCGTTTTAAACACTTTCAGGTAACCGATTGTTAACTTTATAATTTCAGTTTGTATGTACATAGTATAAGAAAAGTTTGAAATCGGTTCCCTTTTTCTTGAAACAAAATTACTTTATTTTTATTCCTCGTATTAATGTTATGTTAATCACAATTTTTCGTAAAAAAAAATCACACATGAGAGATATAAACAATAAACAGCATTTCTTAACAACATGCATTTACATAAATATAACAACCCAATTCCTGCACTAATCACAAATTATTCAATAAAATTAAATACTAAATATATTACAATTGAATATATCAACATCCAGGTCATGATTGCTCAGCACACTATCCAAGCTCTTGCTAGCTCTACATAGAAAACTATGTTGTATGTAATTAGTCCTCGCTAAGGGAACTGCAATAGGGTGATAGTGCTTCATAGAACGCGTTGGTACACTAAACAAAGTATTATCCATATAAAGAGGCAACATATGTGTACCAAAATTCCGGATAAAACTTTCATATAAAATCATACGCCATAAAATAGCCAGCAAATTTCAAAAGACCCTACACCACATACAATTTACATCAAATTCGCGTCCTACTCACAATTAACTCATTTGCCAGTAGTGTCATTTCACAAGAACGCGGTTCTTTGCGAAAGAAAGACCTTGTATCGCTTATGGCAGTATGAACACACTACGGCCTGATTTTTTGTTTTTATATTACATTAATTTGTTACAAACGTGGATCAGTAACTTGTAGTGGCCTAAACTGTCATAAATAATTTGTTTATATTTCACAAATA